TGATTACCCCGCTCTTCCTCCCATCATCAGGTAAAACACATTGGGATAAAATAAAGTGTCATGGCGCCCTTTTTCCCGCTGTGGGTGCAAGTGTTTTACGTGCTTTTGTGTACCACAAAGTTCTTCCGCTCGGGTTAATGCACGCATCCATTGTCACGGCTGTCGCTGCCGCACCGCTGCGTTTGGTGGCAATGGGTGTCACATGGCGTGGTCTGACGTACAAGGCAATATTGGACGAAGCAATGGTATCAGTAGCTGTCAGTTGGGCTCCAGCGGTGGCGTATGCAGGCTTTCTCGTCACACAGCGCCGTTTGGAACTTCTCAAGAGATCGAGGTGTTCACGTATTGTGCAGCTTCTCATCATGGCCATTATTAGAGTTGTTTTGGGATTTGTTGTTTTTTCCCTGTTGTTTCGCCGCTGCGATGAGATTGGGTCCACGTCTCTCCTTGGGATATTTAGGAAAGATGCCTTTAAGGCGTACGAGTTGAAGCAGGTGATTTCGGTGTTTTTGCGTTACGTGGTGCATTTGCTGCTGGGCGTGGTGCGGAAGACAAGCGCGTACACGAAGTCAATTCAACATGGACGACAACTTTTGGACCGCAAGTAGAATGAGCGAAATAAAAAAAAAGTAGGAGGATGGATGGTTGCTGGGGATGGCCATCTTTTTTTTTTTTTTGGTTTGGTTTGGTTTGTTTTTGTTACTTTTCCTCGGTTGTCCTTTTCCATTGGCTTCATCCCTTTGTGTGTGTGTGAGAGAGGGAGAGAGCGTTGTCTCCAGCACGCACCCCCGTGCGCGGTCGAATGGGGGGAAAAAGTATGTCAAAAGGAGGCCAACAAAAACAAACGGCGCGGAACGTGATGTACACGAAGTTTTTGAGGAATTTCCGAGACGCCCTGCAGCGTTGCTTTTCCCCTTTTCTTCCTTTCTCTCTCCCTCTCTCTCTCCCTCTCATAACGCTTGCTGCGGAAAGAAGTCGGTGGTAACAAAAACTCACACGCATACAAATACATACGCCAATAGGCAATATAATACACATATAAATATTTGTGTACCGGAGGGAAGGACCCACAAGGGCCATAAGTGTCAGGCAGATTACGAAAAGAAACCGATTTAAAAAAAAGAATTACCATTGCATTCAACAAAGGACATCAAAAGAATAAAAAATGTCCTGCTGCTCCAAGATTCCTCAAACCGCAGACAAGGAACTTGATGAAAACGGTGTGTACCTGGAGAACATTACCAAAACCTTTAAGCTTTTTGAGAAGAGTATTGCCGAAACCCTCAACACATACCAAATGTTGATGAATTCATTCGAGAAGGTGGCACAATGCTTTGTGGAAATCGCGGGGGGAAGCAGCAAGAACATGGTGGGCTTGGCTGATGGGTTTAAAGAGGGAATGCGGAAGCTGAGGGATGGGCCGACTCTATCAGGATTGCAGATGGATATCACACGTTATGTGAAGGAAGGCCTCCCACCTCTTATGGCCGAACGGAATAAAGTCTACAAGCTGTACAAGCGCGCGAAGGAGTTGAAGAAAGCGGAGGATACGTATCGCTACAAGATTGGCGAAATGGAGAAGGATTTCGCAAGGAAGAACCGTCCGCTTGGCGAAAGCAAGTCCTACGTCAAGTTGGGTAAAAATCGCGAACGCGCAACCATTAAATACCAGGGAAAGAAGCAGGAATTTGTGACTGCCATGGAAATGTTCAAAGATCTCGTTGAACGGTTTCTGGGGACCTCGCTGCCTGGATATGCGGCGTGCACAAGCTCCTTCTCGAGGCATTTGGGGCAAGTGATGGAGGCATACGTCTCGGGTGAGCATTCGATTAGCTCAGCCAATGGAAGCCCCTTGAACCAGTCGAAACACAGACCGTCACAGAGGAATTCCGATTCAACTGTGGAACAATTGGCCCACGAAAATCAAGGAAAAAACCCACTCTCACTTGAAGAGCAGTATTACCAAGTTGAATAGGTAAAATAGCAGGTGGGGATCAATTTAAAGAAAGCAGGAAAAAAAAAAAAAAAGCTGAGAAACCACCCGTTGTAAGCAGTTATCTATCAATTTTTATATGGCAGACACACCTTTCTGGTTGCTATTTTTGCTGTCTGTACTTTTTTCATGTGTACACAAAAACGTGGGCATATCCGGCATTGTTTTCTTTTTGTTTGTTTGTTTGTTTTTATTTGCTGATTTTTAAATTCTTGCTAATAATCGTGATCGGCCCCTGTGTGTGTGTTTTTTTTTTTCGGCATCTGCGCCTTTATGCACACCTTCTTGAGACATTTCCTCGGCTCGGGGCCGGCAGATTGTGTAAAAAGAGCCATCAGACGCCCCCCACTTAACGGGTCTTGTTCCATCCACATTGGCGTCGTATTTTGGTTCCGGGGTCCAGCGGCACACATGAATGCTTTCTCCGTCTCCGAATGCGGGTGAACCCGAAAAGCCACCGACCACACGAGACGCGAAGAAGCCTTTAGAACGAATGTGTGTCTGGAGATGGGGCCCCGCAGAAGACGGCGCCTCTTGTTGAACCCAATTGTAGTATGTGTTTGTTTGTTTTTGTTTTGTTTTACCGACCATCTGATTTTTATTTTCGAACACACCGCGTTGGGAGGCAGCGAGTATAATTTCTTTTCTGCCGTCTCGCTCGCCCCCTTCACTACTCCCCACGCGGCGGGGAGCCCGGTGACTGTGGAGAGGATTTTTTAAAAAACTGCCACTCGGTAAGTTCACAAGGCGCCCATTTATTATTAAGCGTTGGAGGAATTTCATGTAAATTGAGGACAGCGAAGGTACGGAATCAAACTGCGATATTTTGTTTCCTGTAATTTTTTCTTGCGTGGGAGCGGGGGGAGGAGGAAGCCTCATCCAGACGCATGCTCTGTTTCTTTCCTTGCCGTTTTTTTTTATGCGTGCATATGTTTTTTTGTTGTTGTTGTTTTGTCCTTGCGGGTTCTCGCTTCCACACGAAGGTGACGAGCATTTTTGCACACGAAAGGGGAAGGCACCGGGGCCATGATGGGTAAACCAGCGCTGGAGAAAGTTTGGGCCGTGATGGAAAAGAAAGCTCACCGTGGGAAGATGGATGGATTACTTGGCAACTGTTAATAACAAAAATTGGGGCCCGTTCTCCCCCGCTGGCGACGCACCTCCACTCTCCCAACAAAACGGTGTGACTTCGTAGGAGGTTGTGAAGAGAATGATCGCGGGAGAGCTGGCAAGCCCTAATGAATGCATATATGTATATATCCCTGCCAAAACGAATACACACTTTTTTATGAGACCTTTTCCGTCTTATGAATTTTGGGCAGGCCACGACTTTAAGGACATCAGGGGACAATTGACGTGTAGAGGACTTTACTTATTTTATTTCATATTTACAGACACAGCGAGGTTGGTTTAAGGAAATGGCATTGGCTCTTTTTACTCGGCCTCCGAGTGGAGCGATATTGGTGTCCCTATTTCAGAATTGGTACGCCAGCATGGCGCTATCCAGGTGCAGCTCACCGTTGTGGATGAAAACAGCCCGTCGGATGCAACGTTAACAGTGGCCACCCCGATGACAGGCTTGCGCTTGATTTTGGGAAGCATCGCCAATCACTGGGAGGATTTGAGCCTTACAGGACATATTGCGAATCGCCGAGCGCCTCAAGTATTAAATTTTGAGACTCAATAGCACCTAGCCATTGTGTGGGGGCGGCCCGGGACTTGAGGGTCCAGCAGGGGCTCGTCATTACTGAAAGGGATCGCTTGAGCACGGACCACGCCCACACCATCGCGGACGTGCGGAATGGAAGCGCTCAGCTTAAGTCGCAGGTGGAAGAGGCGCATAATAGCAGCCTATCGGTATTCGAAGCTAACATTGCGGTCGCCGACGGCTTT